TAGCATGAGCATCACAATTTATATTATATCACGTTTTAATTGCATCTAACTATCAAACTCCATTGTAATTTGACAATTGAGCGCGACACAAACGCATAACATGTCTTCCGAAGCACAGAGACGGTCGAGATAGGAAGCTTTTAGCTACCTATCCATTGGCACAGCATTGTGACTGAGAGCAATTTTCCGAATCTCCCGTAAAGTAGGTCAAATATACAGGTTGTTACAAAAATACAAATAAAGCTTGAAGGGCGTTGAAGTACATCATATAAGGAGTCTTCTTTAATTTTCTTTAAATATTTGCATGAAGTTTAACCTTTATATAAAAACAGTTATTTTTAATGATCGTCGAACTAGTGACGTGTCTTAAAATGATCGATATTTTTATTAATCATTAAAAGTAACTGTTTTTATAAAAAGTTAAAATTTCATGCAAATATTTTGAGAAAATTAGAGAAGACTCCTTTGTATAATGTACTTCAATGCCCTTCAAGCTTTATTTGTATTTTTGTAACACCCTGTATTATTATCTTTCACAAAGTTCACAATGACACTGTTTACCTTCCATTTCTTATTATCATATTCTTTATTCAGCGCCGCTGACACATTTCCGCAACGAAAGAAATAAATCCCTGCCTTGCATCGTTTACCGACTTGCTATCAGCAGTTGGGCCTATTTCGGTCTGCTCTCCGCCACCGTATCCTGTATCGAATGGCGAATACAACGAATACGGTATTTAGGTTGCGTTCAGACTACGCCATAAGTCGTGGAGATAATGGTAGTTTTCCATTAATAGCATTATAGCGCATTATGGGGCATAATGCTTAACGTTGAGTGTTTCAACTACAGCAACGCTTCGCACAATCGAGCACTCTCAAAAGTAATGCTTTCGTGTGATGTGTGCAATCGTACCAACTCAGTGACAGAAAATTAACACATTTTTCTCTTTAAGTTGGCATTGATCGAAATGATTTATTTATTATTATCGTTAGTAATATTATTTATTGTTGAAAAAATTTTAAAGCTTTCGTTTCATTGTATTGTAGTTTTTTTTTAAATAGTCAAAGTTAATTCAAACTGTGTTAAAAAATTAATTTAAGTATAGATGAAGGTACAGACATTAACGTTTTTTTATCAACACTGAACTTAGCGCACTCTGCTGGTGCATTTGAAAACTAATTCACGTTCCAATTAAGCATCAGCATAATTCGGCATTGTGCGCCACTGAGTCGCATTATGCTCTGTAATTGGAAAACTACCAATGCTTCGTATAGCGTGACGTTCACATTACGCGATTCAACGCAAAAAAGTATGATTATAACAGTTTCAGTGAGTATAATCGCTAGAAATATATTAATTACCACCTTTTTAAAGTATGCATTTTTAACTGACCATAAAAAATTGCTGTCCCGACATATTATCACAATATGGCACAATTATTAATTCCTTCAACAACAACTGCGATTTAAAAATGGTAATGGTAATACGGGTGATGACGGGGTACAGTAAACGAAATTCTATTTAGTCCGTCAGTTAGATGATCAAAAAATAATGGACACGTATTTTTTCTTTGGGCAATCAACCAAAAAATGACGAAGTTATAGCGCGTCAAAGTTTGGGAGTGGGGCCTCGTCACTTTTAAGTGAAAATTGTACCAAAACGTGACGCCATGCACTTTTCAAATCAACATATCTCTGCAATGTTTATATTATGTGAAAAAAGAAAAAAACACGTGTTCAAAACTTTTTGATAATCTACCTGATAAACGAAAAAAAATAGTCATCATCCCTATTAAAATTAAAAATCAAGTTTGTAACTATATTTGTTTCTTAGGTTTCCACGCACATCACTCATTAAATAAAACTAGTTTTTACGGGTTAATGCACGAAAACTTTATTTATTTATTAACGTTTCGTAGCCTTTACAGGCTACGTCGTCAGAATAAAACTTTTATTTAATTTGTCGAGCTACCTTCGAAAGACTTTTACTGAGCGTTTGATTATTTCATTGTTCGATTTTTAAGTTTTATTTTCTATGTATGAATTTATTATTTAATTTACTTAATAAAGTATTTTATTTAAAATTCTTGTTTGTAATTTTGAGTTTATTTATTTGACCCTAACTACCGTAAACTACCACCGGTTCCAAAATTGGGAGACCTTCCTGAGAAGAACTGGCGAAACAAACTCAAGAGAGGCTTTCTATCTCCTTCTTATGTTAAATTATGCAAACAAAAAGAACTAATAGTATCTGATGGTCTTGCAGTGTGTGCTCGGGGTTGGGATTTTATCTCCTGTATAATAGGTTCATGGCGGCACGAAGTTCGCTGGGTCAGCTAGTTGTTATATTGACTTTCACAAGTGCTTGTAACAGCCTAGACTGAATAAATGACTTTTCATTTCATTTCATTTCATATAGAAATGTAATCTAAGCTATTATTAGCTATTAAGTCATCATGTTATAGCACATCCTAAACGCACCTTTTCCTGTATCGAATGGCGAAAACGGCCTGTGTACTTAGTAGGATAGTAGGTGCCGGTGGAGAGGGGAGAGGTCCACGTGTCATCATTTGTCTTAGTTCGTCTCGGATCTTTGCCCAAGTGACAACCTATAAATTTGGCTGCGACCACATGGCCGCTTGATGAATCGCATCGGTCGACAGTGTATTAAATACGATACATTGTCTAATGGGTAGGTATGGATGAAATCTGTGCGCTGAAAATATGGGAGGTAGAAAAAGAATTAATACACTAAAAGACATATTTAAAGGAATCAATACCTTAACACTTCCTATGCATAAAGTTAAAACTCTGCCTAAAATAAACAAAGGACTTAAGACTAAAAGACTTCATGTTTATGCAAATTCCGCTGCTTCTTAAAAATCTGATAAGTTTCTTGCGTCTGTATATCTTATCAGCTAAACGCTATATTGAACGAGTGTGTTAGGAAAAAAATTAAATAATTCAAAAGAGCTTTTTGTAAATCAAATTGAATCAAGTTTATTTTCAGATCTTCTATCTATTCTCTAAATGCTGATAGCACATTTTTGTTTGACGATGCATTTCGATTACGTATTTATAATTTTTATTATTTTAAAGCATGTAACTGCTTGATGTTTAGATCTAAAGAAAATATAACTAGGAAAAAATCCACGCGAACCAGGCAGCAGACGGGACTCGAATCCGCACCCTTCGCAATCCGGGCTAATTTCGACGCGGTCCGTGAGGGCCGCGGTAGCATAATTGGTCAGTGCATTCGCCCGGATTGCGAAGGGTGCAGGTTTGAGTCCCGTCTGCTGCCTGGTCGCCGTGGAATTTTTTCTAGTTATATTCTTTCGATTTAAACATTAAGCAGTAACGTGCTTTAAAATAATAAAAATTATAACTATAATTGCTATTTCTTCTTTCAAATGTTTAATACTTGTAAAAGTATTCATTTGACATTGAAGTTTACCTATAATGCGAAGAGATGGCGCTGCCTTGCAGCTTAAGAATAGCTAGAGGCATTTTGACGCGGTCCGTGAGGGCCGCGGTAGCATAATTGGTCAGTGCATTCGCCCGGATTGCGAAGGGTGCGGGTTCGAGTCCCGTCTGCTGCCTGGTCCGCGTGGAACTTTTTCGATTACGTATGTTAAAATTCATGCTACAGTTTACGTTAAATAGGCATCATCTAACTTGCTTTATGGGTGGGGAATTAAGCATCAAATGTAACTTATTTATATCTGTTTGCCCCGAATTCAGTATAATCATAAACAAATAATATATTGTTGGTCGGTCCATTCATATATTGGTTCAGTATTGTAAGTTAGTAATAGTCTCCAGAAACAATACAAGTTGTTACCAAGTTTTATTACTTATCAAGTACATTAGTTTCGGTACACTGCCAGCAAAATAGTTACATCAACGTAAACAAATACATGTATAGTATATTCCGTTCGAGTCCTACATAGTTTAAAACGCCTCCGGAAATACTCCTTCGTATTTGCATGTGAGATGCAGGATTCAAAGTTTTACGAATATATTAATATTTAAGAGAGACCTGTGTACATGACGAGTATTCTATGTCCATATTGAAGAGACGCTATCTTGTCGCATTCTGTAAAACGGCTTCCTTAACATGCGATCCGGAGTGTGCCAAGGTAGCAATTTGGGACCGCTAGAATTCATTATAGTGATAAACGACTTAAGTACCTACTCACAGTCATCAGACAGAGTACCTACGATCTTAAAATGCTGTTCTAGGCTAGAGATGTGTCTGTTTCTAAAAACAGCAAAGTTCTGCAATAGAGCAATGAAAGTAAAATTCTATCCTCTATTATATTTTAGGCTCAGGACGCATGGAGTCATTTAGTATTTTTGCTATTAAATTAAAAACTCCTTTACATTTTAAACGTACAGTTCGAATGTTTGTATAAAGAGAATTATATAAATAAATAAATAAATAAATATTTCCAACACTCACACCAATTAGCCTAGCCCCAAAGTAAGCACAGTAAAGCTTGTATTATGGGACACTAGGATAACGGATAGGTCAGATTATGTCGTGTACACATATACTGTACATATATGACGACCTCCGTGGCCGAGTGGTTTGTACGCCGGGTTTCATGGTGTCGCCAACTCGAGAGGCCCCGGGTTCGAATCCTGGTGGGGGCAGATGTTTGTGTGATGAATACGAGCATTTGTACTCCAGTCATGGATGTTTAATATGTGTTTCTATATAAATATATACTTATATATGTACAGTATATGTATTCTATCCGTTACCCTAGTATCCCATAACACAAGCCTTACAGTGCTTACTTTGGGGCTAGGCTAATTGGTGTGAGTGTTGGAAATATTTATTTATTTATTTATAAGTATATCGAAATACATATCAAACATTCATGACTGGAGGGCAAATGCTCGTATTCATCATACAAACACCGGGATTCATGAATATCCACATATAAACCACTCGGCCACGGAAGTCGTCAATATAATAACTGTTTGTATTTCAGGGTCTGGTAGTGGCATGTGATATACCTCTAGGAGGAGGGTCAGAGCCGGACGAGACGCTTACCATGAGGTTGACACAGGTAAACTGCACTCTGTTGCATAGAAAATACAGTCTTCTTTATATTTGATATAATACAAAGGCTCATAAGCGAGATCATAATTTTCTTAGTAGGTTCTAAATGTTGTGGAAAAGCTCTAACTGGCGTCGGTGCCATGCATGTCTGATAGATCTGAGTTCCCTACTACTTTTACTGCTTGGGTTGGCATAGCACCGACTCCAAATGACTAAACACTTACTTTTTAATATTGTTATTACCAATGCAAAAGAAAAAATTAAGGTACAAAAACCTTTTTAAAAACAAGCTTTTATTCAAATGCGCTAAAAATAAAAGAAGAAAATTTAGTTAAAGTTTGTTTCTAAATAGATTTTCAAATTTTAGAAGTCCGCTATATTGGATTGAGAGTGACGTCAAATTTTTTTTTTCGAGTTACTCTCAGCAAGCCCTTTAATTTGATACCCACATTGTAGGAATGCATTAAAAATGATTGGTCCGCCATTTTGGGTATGCCGCCATATTGGATTTAGAATGACGTCACACTGTTAAGCATGCATTGTCATCCGAACTGAACGAGCATACCAAATTTCAGCTTAATCGGTTGAGGGCAAGTGCTTTAAAATTGAGTTGTAAGATTTGACCGTAACAAACATACATAGCAAGTTAAATAAAAGCTTGTAAAAAGAGCGCGAGGCATTTGAAAACCTCAGGCAGCTAGAAATAACAAAATGAAATCGTAAGCGATAGCGTTTTCCAAAGCATTTCCGTTAGGCGAATGGCCCCCTGGTCAGGGTCAGGGCAGGCAACGGTACGAATGGTATTTTTGGGATAGCCAGTTACCACCAGAAGGCCATTCGCCTAACGGCATTTGCTAAGGCTATCGCTATTACTAACGATTTAATTTTATTTCTGACCGCCAAAGGTTTTTAAATACCTCGTTCCCAATACAAAAGAAAAAAGGGCGTGACGCATTTGTAATTTCGGTGGTCGGAAATAACAAAAAGAAATCGTAAGCGTCATAGCTAGGGCTGCCATCCGTCCGGGTTTCCCCGGATTTGTCCTAGTTTACGGGGCGTCCGGGGAGCGTCCGGGCGGGGTTTTATTTGTAGTCCGGGTTTAAAAATTTACGGCAACGCATGAGTGGCCCTTGGTGCTGCAAGTGTCCATGGGCAGCAGTGACCACTTATTATGTGGTAGACCGCTAGCTCTTTTGCCTAGATCAACATAAAAAAGTTGATTTGTCACATTTTTAACTGTTTTTTTATTGGTCTGTCCGGGTTCTGGGCTTCAAAATCCGGGGTTATCACGCGTCTTATCCTGGTTGCCACATTTTAGAGATGGCAGCCCTAGTCATAGCGATAGCAATCCCGTTAGGCGATTGGCCCCCTGGCGGGCCCTATACGCTTGTTCGCCATGAATTTTACATAAAATAAAATCCAGAAATCGATTGGAAGAACGTTTCGGAATAATCTTATAACATACACTCAAACAGAAGAAACACTTTTTTATGTCGTCAAAATCTTAACTTAATTCTATGCTAGTAAATTACGTGATTCTTATACTATTACTAGCTGGCCCAGCGAACTTCGTGCCGCCATAAAAAATAGGGGTTGGTGGTAGAAAGGTGAAACTTTAGGGTTGTATGTATTTACTAATGCTGTATCATAAAAAAATTAAAAAAAAACTATCTCAAATTGAAAAAAAAAATAGGGGTGGATTACCCTTAACATTTAGGGGGATGAAAAATAGATGCTGTCCGATTCTCAGACCTACTGAATATGCATATAAAATTTCACGAAAATCGGTCGAGCCGTTTCGGAGGGGTTTAACCACAAACACCGCGACACGAGAATTTTTTATATTAGATAATCTAATGTGTCTAATGTGTACATGATAAGTTTCTGTAATTAGCCTAAACATAGTTTTTTTTAAGATAGGTCCGACAAATGACTCCACCCCACCTGATGTTAAGTGAAGGTGAAGTCCAGACGCGAAGATAGCTGCATAGATAGATAGAGTATTTATACTTCATTGTATTAAATAGAGGAGGAATATAAAAAGAGGCGCTCGATGGCGCAGGTTCGGCGCGTTCGGCTGCGATCGTTGAAGTTAAGCAACTTTCGCAGTGGTCGGTCATTGGATGGGTGACCAAAAATTGACTATCTCGAGCTCCTCCGTGCTTCGGAAGGCACGTTAAGCCGTTTGTACCGGCTGCATTTGCAGTCGTTAGCACCCACCAATCCGCACTGGGCCCGCGTGGTGGGTCATGGCACAATCTCCCTATTCCATCCATAGGAAAGGCCTGTGCCCCAGCAGTGTGGACATTAATAGGCTGATGATGATGATGATGATGATTGTATTAAATCTAGACGATCTCCGTGGCCGAGTGGTTTGTACGCCGGGTTTCATGGCTGTCGCCGACTCGAGAGGTCCCGGGTTCGAATACCGGTGGGGACAGATGTTTGTGTGATGAATACGAGCATTTGTACTCCAGTCATGGATGTTTAATATGTATTTGTATAAATATACTTATATATGTACAGTATATGTATTCTATCCGTTACCCTAGCATCGCATAACACAAACCTTATAGTGCTTACTTTGGGGCTAGGCTAATTGGTGTGAGTGTCGGCAATATTTATTTATTCATTTAAATCCACAAAAATCGCTGTAGAAACTTTATTTAACTTTGTTTAATAAATAAAAGTCGTGAGTCAATTAACTAACCCCAAATCTCGCTTGACTAGAATTTCATCCAATACCTACGCTAACATCAGTAATAAGAAAACAGCTTAGCCGCTCACAGACCCGGCAATTTCTCTGAAAGGGGAATATATAACATCGATTCTGTACATTTATGTAGCATCACATAATTGGTTACTCCAAGAAGGTATATCTTATTGCTCTACGTTGATATTATATTCGCAAATAAGTTACTTATAATTTTTTTCTCGTTTGCTGCCTGGTCCACGTGGAATTTTTTCTAGTTATATTTTCTTTAGATCTACAACTGTGTTAAGAATCTATATTTATCTACAACTGTGTTAAGAATCTATATATATATATATATATATGTATATAAAACTCAAAGGTGACTGACTCACATAGTGATCTATCAACGCACAGCCCAAACCACTGGACGGATCGGGCTGAAATTAGGCATGCAGGTAGATTTTATGACGTAGGCATCCGCTAAGAAAGGGTTTTGATCAATTCTACCCCCAAGGGGATAAAATAGGGAATAAAAGTTTGTATGAAACTGTCAATTTTAAACCGATCGGGCTGAGACTTTGCATGCAGATATAAGAAGAATCATAGATGAATGTCACTGTGTGTAATACAAGCCTGAGAACAAAAACTGTAGTCTACACTTCAGCTCTGCACCGAAGCGAAGCGAGGGCGAGCCGCTAGTCTTCTATAAAATATTCTGAATCCATGAGGAGTTCTAAGAACTTAAAATTCATAAAATTTTCAGCACTGTGGTAGAGAAGCGCGCGTGAATGATAATAATCTTTTTGAAATAGGATATTTGACAGTATTTAAATAAAGTGCTTATTGTTATCATCTGTGTTTATAATGAATATTGGCAGGGGTTTTTACTATTTTTATAAAATAAAAACATAACTTTACTAAAAACTCACGAAAATGATAATAGTTTTCTTATCTATTGTCACGTGACTTAAAACGCTTGGGATTGGCGGAGCTTAAAATGACGTCACACGCAAGTAAACTTCCGGTTAAAGTGACATTACATAGTATCGGTTGACGTTTTAATAACAGTCGTGTGACGTCACACACTAGTAAGACGCCATATTGTCCAGAGAAACGCTTTCGCGCGGCAACTTGAAAATGGAGTTTTTGATTTGGTTATTTTTACTGAAATACACAACAGAATGATGAATATCCATCCTTTTTACGGACTCCATAAGCATTAGTTAATAACGTGAGATCGTTTTCTAAAACTTGTCAAATACCCTATTCGTAATAGCACGCATCCAGCAGTGAAAATTGTGGCTGTCTGGTGAGCAAGTCCTTGACGCGTAAGGCATTTAGAAAGCAAGGAGTATTATTATGTATTTTATTAAAAAAAAAACATTATAACAAAAAAGTTTACTAGAAAAAAATCCACGCGGACCAGGCAGCGGACGGGACACGAACCCGCATCCTTCGCTATCCGGGCGAATGCACTGACCATTATGCTACCACGGCCCTATTTGCCGCGTCAAAATTTTCCTAGCCTTAAGCTGCAAGGCAGCGCCATCGCTTCGCATTTTAGGTTAACCCCCAATGTCAAATGAATACTTTTTCAAGTATTAATCATTTGAAAGAAGAAATAGCAGGCCCGTCCCGTCCGCTGCCTGGTCCGCGTGGATTTTTTTCTAGTAAACTTTTCTTTAGATTTAAACATCTAGCAGTTAAATGCTTAAAAAATAAATAAAATCATTGGCACGGAGCCCGAGAACTTTCCAACGAATGCAAAACCGTGGAAATCGGTTCGTGCGTTCTGGAGTTATAGCGTCAGGAAGGAAAACCCGACTTATTTTTATATAGTAGATATACTAGTTATAAATTTTTTTGTTATGATATTAGAGATATTAGATGTTTTAATGTTGGCCAAAGGCTAATTGTTTCAGAATCTTTAATACCGGTTTTAGTTTTTGATATTTGAATCCACTTGTCAATTTCACAATTCACATCAGGTTTACACTCAGCTGAATTCCAAAACTTGTCGACAGCTTCATTTATACTCCACTTATCAAGAGTAACCCTTAGACTTGGAGGAATAAGTCTCTCCCGGTGACTTTGAGTGAAAAATTCCACCATGTGACAATTGGCTAGTGGCATCAATGGGTTGAGATAAGAAATAATAGAGTCAATGTGTTGTTGTATTCTTGAAATTGTTAATTCTTTCCCTATACTTTTCTGTTTCTCTTTAACTTAGAATGAAATATCAGTGTCAAATGGATTGTTTGATGGTATCTTTAGTAAAGCACATACTTTTACTTTTAAATCATGAGTGTAGA